GCTTGCGCTGTCGCTTGGGTCGCGTTGGCAGGTCGAGGTCCCATGCCAACTCGAGGTCGTCGAGCGCGAGGAGGTCGTCGGTTCTCGACGGATCCGCTAAAAATGATATGAAAATGGAGATGTGGGTGCGCTTGACCACACTCGGGTGCTATTATGCCGAAAGAGCACCTCTTATACGGCAACGTGCTGACCTCACTCTCCACACATTGTACATCGATCGATCCATACAAGACCACGGGACGGACCCTAATCAGCGCTGATAGCAGTGTTGCGTGCGACGGAAGGTGCGTCACGGACGCCTCGCACGCACCGTCGGTAACCAAACATATATGACGCAAAGGCGACGAGTCGGCGTCTATCATGTACCACAGTCCATATATGCACCATTGAAGCTCTGGTCGAGCGAGTCGCTCTACCGCCACCTTGCAGTCACGCATGGCTATCATAGGCGCGTCATCAGCGTGACCCGTAGGCGTGGCTTCGTGCGTCCGTCCAACCGCGTTGGGGGCTGGGGAGGGTTAGGGCAATCTGCCAGGGCCGTGAACATGGCCAACGAAGACGGTCTGTACCTGCAATTGTCTCTGCTATCTCGTGACGGGACTGGCATTTTGCTATCGCCGAGCGGCAGCTCCGACGTGTGCGACCCACTCGCTCCTCTTGTACGCAGGCGCCAAGTACCTCTACACGACCGACCGGTGGCTCTACAACGGCGTCTACTACCTCGACCGCGCATCGGCCGTGCTCAGCCCTGCGCTGGCGGGGCGTCGAGTACGCTTATGACATCGAGATGTGGCGTATCGTCACGGTATCGCTGCCGACTACGTGGGATGTGCCGGACGCACACCCGTTTGCAAAAGCGTCGAAAGTAGCCATCCCACTCTCAGCAATACATGCACTTTCAGTCTGTCAAAGTATCAAGCGGCGCGACGTGAGCCGAAGCTACCTTGAGCGCGGGTTGAGGAAGCTCTTTTGCCAAGGTCTCTGGTCCTGCGCGGGACTTCAGATACGAGCGTTAATAAATATGGATGCATCGGGTATTGCAGTAGTACATATTGTTGTTACACAGCAAAAAAAATGGGTAGCGACTCGAAGAGGTGGCGTTCGATTCGTGTTTGCATCGTCTGCAAGTTGCTGCGATAGCCAGCAAGCACGTGGTCGGCCAGTGCCGAGAAGCTCAAGTCCGTATCGCGGTGGCGGGAGGCATCGCGGTAGCTCTTGCACGGCACGTGGCCACGGCTAAAGTACTTGATGCGGCTCGTATTCGCGCCAGTCCGCTCGATGACAAACCTAGCAGTGCTATCGTTGTATCAACAGGGTCAAGGTATCGAGGTACCAAGCTGACTCTTGGGGTACGTAGACTTCGGGCGGGTACGGGTATAGCTCGTCGTCAAGCACGATGCGCATGGTGAACGCGATACGCGAACTCGACTCGTCGTAGCGCTTACTGGCCATGTTGCCGTGCAGCTCAAAGTTGCCGGGGTAGCGCAAGAGCAGCTTGGTGTAGCGCGTCGCCTCATCGACACGTGGCAGCGCCTACGACGTTCAATGAGCTACTGCATTGGAGGAAGCGTGTACCAGAAGCGCACCCGACTCGAGCACGACGGGGACTTCCTGCGAATAGATTGCCCACAGCGCATTCGCGACGCGCTGCATATCTGCGTGGACCGTACACACCATTGTGCTTGTGAGCAAGAGTTGGTCGTCGTCGCATGTGACGTCCAAGTGGGTACACGTCTCGGTGGCGTCATGCAGACGCTGGGCGAGGAAGACGCTCTCGAGGCGGTCATACTCGGCGTCCAGCATGGCATGGAAGCTCGTGCGACGCTGGATCGGGTCCGCCGGCAAGCGCTGCAGCTTCCAGTCTTC